ATCCCCGCTATTGGCGGGTAATCAAGCATTTAATTTTCCCGCTGTTGACGGGCAATCAAGCATATCTCATCCCCGTTGTTGGTGGGTAATCAAGCATTTCACACTCCCGCTGATGGTGGGTAGTCAAGCATTTCACATTTCCCGCTGATGATGAGACCAGACGATAATATGATTGCTGTTGGGGGGGACCAGACGATAATCTGAACGCTGATAGAGAGACCAGACAGTAATGTGATTGCTGATGATGAGACCAGACGATAATGTGATTGTTGTTGGAGAGACCAGACGGTAATGTGATTGCTGTCGGTGAGACCAGACAGTAATGTGTACAGCCAGTAAAGCTGGCTGGAAAGCGAGCTGCTCCGCTGTTGATGAGACCAGGCGGGAATGCCATTGGCCAGTAGAGCTGGCCGCGGAACGTGYTACACCTCTGGTGATAAGATCAGACGGTGAAGTGCACGGCCCTTGTCGCTGRCTGCGATGCGTGCTACTCCTATGTTGACGAAATCGGACGGTGAAGCGACCGGGCAKTGCTGCTGGCTGCGAAGCGAGCTATTCYGCACTGAATGACAATGGACGGTAAAGTAAACAGCCCTTATCACTGGCTGAGAAGCGAAACATCAGAACCAGGATGTGGGTTGTGATGAACCAGTAACAATCATCCCACTAATTACCTTTTGCTTATTTTTGGGATAAATTAATATGAATTGTTAAGGCTACGGGTCCTCTGAGACCTGCTGCCCCGAACTGTCGCCTGCAGGGAGATCGGAGACAGAGGGAGGAGGATTGTGCTCGCAGAGAAAGGAAGAGAGAGTCTGAGCCCGCAGAGCATAGTGAATGAAGGGGGGGGGCTGCGCGGAGTGAGTGAGAGAGAGACTGTGTGAGCATGTACGTGTGCGAGGGAGACTGCGTGAGCGTGTGTGTGTGTGTGAGAGAGAGAGAGAGAGAGAGAGAGAGAGAGAGAGAGAGAGAGAGAGAGAGAGAGCCTATGAAGTCAGACACATCTGTAAGGGCCGTTGAACCCAAGATTATGACTGCCTGCAGCTGCGCAGGGAACCAAACCACTCCCGCATGAGAAAAAGACATTACATTGGTATAATAACTGCCGCATCTGGCTGGAAGCTCTAATCAAAGATCGGTTTTCGCGTGCATCAGGGGGACCTTAAAACGAATGACTTCACCGTTCAGATTTCTAATTGGTCCCGATTTAAACATCTTGGTTGGGAGCACCATGACGGTTATGGATGTCAAAACACGGTAAATCGGGTACCGCGCTTATTACTGAGATACGGGGACGAGACTGACCGTAAGAATGATGTTTGTTCAGGGTGGTTGAAGTCTACAATGAGAAATCACATTGTCATACCTACACACGTGCGGTAAGGAGAGYCGTGTTTACATATCAGGTATAACCATGCCCCTCGRCTGCATTGAATCGGGCGGAAAATCCGATATGGTTCCCTTCAGCCTAGATCTTGGGACTACGAGCTGGGCATGTTCATATTATTTTCTTTTTTTTTAAAGCTTTGAACAAATTTCGTGTGCAGCAAAAAAAAAATATCTAATATAGTCTGGAGTGGGCTGCATGACAGGGAGAATGCACCCTCCTCCCCTGTCGCGTCACTGAGGACCTCTGATGCGGACACGGCGGGTGACAGACGCCGTTGTCCTTGGCTTCAGCGACGGGCAGGGCCCCCTCCCCGGGTTTCCTCACAACGTGTCGGCTCGCTCTCAGGAGCATTGGAATGCCGAAGACGAGGCGGCTGCTGTGGGGAAGAGGAAGGAGAGAGAGGAGGCGGTGAGGCTAGGCGGGCAAAAGAGGATGAGACAACACACTATCACTGAGTCTTTTTCTTCGCAATGGCAGATGAAGTTCAAGAAGAAGTTTCTGCGGTTTGTGTACAGTCAGCACTTGGCGTTCAACGTTTTCCGGAGCGAGCCATGGAAGGATTTCGTGAGGCACTTTAGGGAATTACTGGGGCCAGTAAAGGTTTTGTGGTCGTCCCACAATGAGATCGTCGACATGGACATGGTTGCCCACACTGCCGACGATGTGGCCGGGGATCTCGCAGAGGTCAGGGCTCCTTTCTATGTGACGGGGGCCACCATCATGTCCGATGGCAGGAAGTCGCGGGATGCGAGACCGATCGTTAACTTCCTTGCGGGCGGGTCGCGCGGAGTGATGATGGTGCGCACAATGAACAGGGAGGGCGAAAGAGACCAGGCGGGTGACGTCTTGGCACGATGGATCAAGGTGTTTGATGACTTTCCTCCTCCATGGGTGAATGTCATCTAAACGGACTCTGCCTCTACATAACGCTGCGTCAAACATGCTGTAGGGTCCTGAACAGAGGTCGAAGATTCGACGGATCACGTGGCTGCCGTGCGCGGTGCATGTCTGCAACAAAATGTTGTCAGATATTGGCTTGTCAAGCCCGTGGTCGAAGGACATTATTGTGCGTGGGAGAGCGGTGGTGCGCTTCATCAAGGAGCACGGCGTCGATCTCTACATCTTCAGGGGGAGAGCAAGCAGATGGGGCTTGTTTATCCCTGCGAGACACGATTCGCCTCCGTGTTCGCCATGATGGAGCGTTTGCTGGCAGTCAGGTCAGCGTTGGAGAGGATGGTGGACGACGATGGTTGGGGTTTGGTCCCCTGGGACAGTAGCGTTGCTCAGCTGGCTTGGTGGGTGAGGTGGCAGGTGCGGCATGGTCCTTGGTGGGATTCCATGGGTGTCCTCATCCGCATCATAGAGCTCGTGTACGACATGCTTCGCAGGTTGGACCGAGGAGGGCTGCACATGTCGAGGGTTGTGCAGTGGACGCAGGACGTGGCTCACGATGTGGCACGTGAGGTCCGCGCACTTCCATCGGGCGTTGCACAATTCATTATGCAAAAGGTGCAGGCTCGGTGCGCTCACATGTTGAAGCCCGCGCACGCCGCTGCTCACCTTCTCTGTCCTAGTCGCAGAGACTTGAGGTACTACGAGGGCGTCGTCAGCGATTACGATAGAATCGTACAGGAGGTGGAGACGTATATTCGCACACAGACTGGGTTTAGTGTCGCGAGCCCTGATTACGAGGCTGCATGTGCCTAGCTCCGCGACTTCCACACACGGAGAGGGGGGATTGCGTGGGGGGGGAGGGACGGAGACAGGGAGGCGAAGAGGTGTATCGGCGACGTGGAGACGTATGAGGCCGGTTGTTGGTGGTCGAAGTGGGGACAGTGCGCCCCGCAGCTGCAGGCCATCGCTCTTCGTGTCATGTACATGTGGACATGTTCCTCTCCTGCAAAGAGGAACCGGGCCATCCACGAGGCTGTGCACATGAAAAAGCGCAACAAGCTCGAGTTCGAGAAGGTTGCGAAGTTGGTCGAGATCTCGGCCAACGTCCGCCTTCTCTCTCATCAGCGAGCTGGCCGCGGGTTTGCATTGCCATGGACAGGCGACGAGTCCATGTTGGATATCGAGGGAGGCATTGGGACTCAGCCGTCGTGGCAGGGGACGGACCCGAGCAGGTCGCAGGAGGACCGGGAGAGGCAGATACGTTCCTGGATTCGAGACCCGTGTGGGTCGAGAGCTTCTCCTGGAGAGGTCGGAGATGTTTTCGGGACTCGGGCCGCCACTTTGCGGCCATACCCTAGAGACGACGACAGTGGTGACGAGGGCGCTAAGGGATTGGAGGAGCGGGCGGGAGCTGCAGACCATCCCGCAGGAGGACCTGGAGAGACTAATGAGTGGAACGACCCGGAGGAGGTCTGCAGACGTAGTGGCGGGGACGACCTTTTTGGCGGAGGTGACGGGAGCCCTTTTGAGCAAGAGCGGCCTTCGTGTCCGGGGCCACAGTCTGTCGATACGCAGGCGGCGCACGACTCTGCGTGTTCCAGGAGGGCAAAGTCAGCTTGCGGCGGCGGTATTGCAGGGCATCATCCCGGACGTTTGCGTAGTGGGATGGCTTCATCTGGCGTTGTTCCCCCTCCGTCAGGTAAGCTTCATCGAGGTTCACCCCCGAGAGGGCGATTGCATAAATTGGTGAAGGGGCCGAGACAGCGATTAGAGGAGAGATTGGTGGGCGGTCCTTCACCGACTGAGAGGGTCGAAAGAGTTGTGGAGAGGCCGACTGGTCGACGTACTCCTCCGTTCGGAGGAGATGGACGCAGTCCAATTCAGGAGGCTGTTGAGACGGAGGGTGTTGGGGGGGGTGGTGATGACAGGGTGTCGATGGGCGGCGGTGAAGGTTTTAGTCAGTTTGGTGATTTGGGACCGCCGCATGGAGATTGCGATTCTCGGGGGGACGTGTCTGCCGGTGTGCAGGCCATATGACACCAGATCAGCGCTTTGCAGCCGGAGACTTTCACCTCTGCCATGCACGGAGAGTTAGGAGCGTCACCAGCGGAGATAGAGAGAGACGAGGAGGCGACACCCCCTGGAGAGACATCGACAAAGAGGTTGGACAGACTCGATAGTCGTCGAGCTTGCCTCCTGACACGAGCTGACCCCAGGACACAGGAGTTGGCCTGTCTAGCGACGGAGGAGCGACAGAGACAGTTGGGGACGTTTAGGGGGTTGCCCCCTGACGCACAGGCGGCTCGCCACGTCGGCCCGATGACAGAGGTTCGCTACGAGATACAGGCGGAGGCACCTGTGCTCCAGCCAGCTTCGGCAGGGACGGAGGGGGAGGCAGCTGCAGGCCCGGGGACATCAGCAGAGTTGCATGGGGAGGCAGCCGGCGGCGGTGACGGCAGAGCCGAGACGGGTGGAGGGACAATAGCTGGGGTGCAGGGGGAGGCAGAGGGGTTGCATGCGACTGCGCTCACCACACCTGGCGACCCGGTGTCGCACTTTGTCCAGTCAGGCCACTTCAGGCGACCGGAAAGTCAACAGGCTGTCACGCAGGATTTTGTTGCTGATCGCAAAATAAAATAAATTAAATTATGCAAATCCCTTCCTGTTGTGTGTGTCCGGCTTCGAGCGAGACCGTTCAATTGCGGTCTTCGCCGGACCCCGGTCTTAGGAATCTTTTATTTTGATTCGGAACAGCAGAGAATCATGCAAATAATAATCATAAAATTGTGGGGCGATATACATGCATCAGTTATGTCAATCTCGTTTTGAGAACTGTGACAGAATCAAGCAGGAACAATGCAAGAAACAAGACCGACTGACTCGAACAACGACAACAACAAGGTCATGTGAAATGAGGGAAGAATGAGAACTCATAATAGTTTCAGAAAGCACATATGGAAGAGAGTATGACCAACACCAATCAAGAGTCCTCACTCATCCCTCTAAACCTCACACTCAATCTCTCATTTTGTTGTTTGTCGTTTGGACTTCTTGCCATGCCTCCGTATTCCCTGAGGTTTGGGCCTCTGTATGTAAAGCCACCTAAAGCCTGCTAGTTCCGAACTCTTCCATCCAAGTCCCATGATACGGAAGTCAATCATGGCACAAAACTCCTCCCATAGAGTGGGGAGATATGGCTGAGAGAAAATGCCCCTCCTGAGATGTAGAAACTCGGAGGGCTCAGTCACTGCCTCGTAGTCGATCAGTGCTGGCGATATGTATCTCTTGGCCAAGTCCACCAGTCCACCCCAATAAGAGCCGTCAGGGAGGGTGAAGGGTGCCGGAGGCTTAGGATAATCGACGAAAAGCTTAGGACCAAAGTTGTGGACTAGCTTTGTGCCCCCCTTGAGTCTCTCGGCTTTTCATTGCAGGAACATGGCTGCTGCAACCCAAACTGCGTCAAAGTGAGGGTGTGTCTCGTTCCCCTTTTTCAGGAAAATCCGCAGGTCTTTGACTGTACCTTCAGCAAACTCGGTGAGGACGACGAAGATAGACAAATCTTCGCGCTTGAACCCATCGACCTTGACATACTTGTTGGGAAAGCTCTCCTTTGTAGCTATTATATTGAGGTTGTCAAGGACCGATGGGTCAACTGAAATGGGGGTGATTTCACTCATGTATCTGAAAAAATCGGTCGCTGATTGAGAACCGAGTATTGCTGATTGACTGCTGACTGAGAACTGAATATTACTGATTGATTGCCGATTGAGAAAACTGAATGTTACTGATTAACTACCGATTGAGAACTGAATATTGTCGAGATGGTAGATAGCGGCCCACTGGTCACTTGGTGGTAAAACTTTGAAACTATTACCATCTGCTGGAAAATACATATGGCTGTAACTATAGAACAACTGATTACAGGTTCATTGGTTTTGACTGTTAGATGCTGAGCACAAAGTCTGCCGAGTGCAAAGTCTGCTAGATACAGAATCTGTTGAGTACAAAGTCTGCTAGATACAGAATCTGCTAGATACAGAATCTGCTGAGTACAAAGTCTGCTGAGTACAAAGTCTGCCGAGTACAAAGTCTGTTGAGTACAAAGTCTGTTGAGTACAAAGTCTGCTGAGATACAAAGTCTGCCGACATACAAAGTCTGCCGAGATACAAAGTCTGCGGAGATACAAAGTCTGCTGAGATAGCTATCACCTTGCAGAGCACGGAGTACCGTTTACCTATTCGCAGGGCTTGGGGTACTGCTTACTTGATGACAAGAGGCAACACTATTCACTTGATAGCATGATACAATATGGATCAATTGATAGCAAGGAGAAGCAGACAGTTGAACGCCACTTTGTTGACAGGTCTAGTTGCTGAGTGGGGTCTGAGCATTCCTATACTCTCCCAGACCTCTGTCAGGCCTGCTCAATCTTCTTCGTGAATGAGTAGGTGCCATGCAGTTCTCCGTCTGGACCATAAAAGTGTATAATATACTTGACACTTTTCTGAGCTTCCACTAAACTAAGTGCACTTTCTCTCATTAACTTCAAGTGACATTGAAGATTTCCAGGTGTTTCCTCTTCCCAAGCCTTAGGCTCACCTTGGTATAGTGTGAGAGATACCATCAAAGCCTTTTCACTACCCATATCTGGGGGCGTTATAGCTACTACACTTAGGACATTAACAACCCTTCACGGAACGAGAGCCAAAAGCTCAGCTGACTACTCAAGGGAGGGTCTCTTATCGGTCATTCTAGGTGTCTTACCCCTTTAGCTATGCTTCCCAGTCCAGATCAAGGGTACAAAGTATAGCCAGGGTGCCCTTAATTTGCCATGACAGGTCTAGTACCATTTTCGTTAGACCTCCGTTCGATAAGTTAGCAGGTCAGCAGCAGTCTGTGGTTGGGGGCATATCTCACAACAGAGTTTGCCCCCGACCACAGTCTCTACTGGAATGATGACAGGGAGGGGCTAATCTGATCACACGGAGCATTGATTTTGAGACTTCCCTTTTCTTTAGCTCAGAGCCCAATGCACGGCATAGTATGTTCCAATTGTTTTCACCGGCAGGGCAAAACCATATGGTTAACCTCCCAACTTGAAGGCAAGGCGTAGCTGGTTAGGATCTCACAACTGGGCCTAGGCCGAGGTGAAGAACAAACAATCAACAAAACTTAGCTAACCAATGCTGAGTGATTTTTGATGGGAGAGTGGCCGTGCGGTTCTTCATCTTGTCTCTAGTAGCTCGTTATACTATTATCAAAATTAATTAGTGAATGTCATTCAATCACCGTCCAGGAGAAACTTTACTAGTAAGTAAACTACCCGTTTTAGGACACGTTGTCTCTCACCCATCACACGTCGATACCCCGCTTTTAAAACTTCCAGCCACGCATACACTGAGTGGGCGAATCAGATCACCCTTAGGGGTCTCGCATAGACTCTTGCGTCGCCCGCTAACTTTCTTAGTTTCGAGGGCCAGTATCATCTCTGAATCTTGTCATTGTCAAGACTTTCACTCATGCCGTTCCCAGTTCAATGCCAACAAATAAAGACTGAGCCAAGACCATCGTAGTTTTACGCAGCTGTTTACATAGGCCTGATAGTGCATTCTCATATACTGAACCAATGTCCCTGATCTGTGTGACCTTTTGATTCCTAGTCGATCTCCCTGCTCAATCAATATATTACTCGATGTGGGCAGTACATACAGGCGAGAAACTGGGCAAGACGGCATCTTCGTCACTTTATCACGAGACTGATTTTCACAATCATTCATAAATCATCAGCCGTTCACTCATATATAAGACTTTCCATGAGAATGAAAATAAAAACATTCAGAGAACCTGCTGCTAGTATCCCGACCCTCTATTCCTAGTCATTCACATAGTTGATTTGCAGTAGACCCAATAGCTTTGGTGCTAATCACCCATGGCACGCCTGTTGTTAGTCCTGGTATACATGCACACCTCTCACGCAAACCTCACAAAAACTTTTTTAGCATTTTAGGCGGTAAGAGTCCAGCCCTGTTACTGTCTATCGCTCATCTCGGTACAGTCGAGGGGTTTAGGCATGAGAGGGGTTAGACATCCGATGAGTTTATGGCAAAAGAAACATCCAGTCTTCCCTGAATGACCCACTTCCACAAACAACCCGCATACTTATCTGATTCATCTCTTGAGAGGCTGAGAAACATGTCAATAGCTCCCTGTCATTGTGATCAAGTTTTCAGTTCTCTATTATTCTCGAACTACCTTTCCTCCTTTGTCCTTCCCAAACCTTTTCCCTCGTACCGCTTCACGATAATCACGGTACTAATCCCTTCAGATAGAGATGAGCACTCTAAAGCCGAACAGCCAGACCAGTCAATATCGCACCACTGACCAGGCTTAACCACAACAATCACATAGGAGAACCCAAAGAATCGTCGTAACGATGCCCCTTTTCTATTGGGCCTCTTATCACCGGCTAACAGTGGTAACCGCCCTCAGCAAATGGCCGGTCTATCTTCCTATTGACGCTTCTCTTGATTAAGTGTGTACGAAAGCGTAATGCTACTTGCAACCGCACTCTCAACGAGCGATCCCTTGACAGAAGGTTTGTTGACTGCACGAGGTGAACCCCGTGAGGCAGCGAACCATTCCCGTCGCGACCAATGATCTACTCAATCAGCCCCTGTTCAGACCAGCAGAAGGTCCTTTCCCGCTTCTTTACTTGGTCATGAAGGGTGGGATGCAAGACTCGTACAAGCAGGGAATCCCTTTCAGATCAAAACAAAACACTGCTATACACCCCTCTCCGCCAATTGTCGCTCACCTGCCATTCACGCTAATCCCCCAACTTGTCAAGCTTAGCCTTTTCAGGACCCAGCCTTAATTACTGCTCCTTCTTTGCTAAATCTCACATAGTGACAAGGCGCAACAAGACCACTTTAGTAAGGCTTACGCCTAGGGGATCTAATCGTCACCCAGAAGTGTGTACACTGAAAACCTTCCTTTCCCGCCAGACTCAAAACAAATGATGCGTTACTTTCCTCTTACGCACGTGAGTCGCCATTCCTATACACGCACTAATCATTCGGTACACAGATAGCGTGCAGTCATCATTAGTGCATTAAGAGAAGACGTTGATTGTGCTGAAATCTGAGATGACTGGCGAGACGGATCACTTGAAGAAGGAGAAAAATGACGTCAACTGCACGTCCAGACACAGCATTCTCGCTTGAGCAAAAAAAAAACAGTTCACTCCCTTACAACCCTCTCAACTTAGCCAGCTTGGAGTATCACTGACTTCGCGGGGAACTGCAAACGAGCCTTATGCAATGGAAGTGTCAAACACCAACCCAGTTGACATCAGCAACAAATCTCACCCTTTCAGAAGTCGCACTCCACTTCCCTTTCTCGTTCTTCAGCGAGGCCGTTACGTGTATCGCTCATCGTGACTTACCTGGAGCGGACGTCATCAGCAGAATCACGCGGCTCTAGTAGACCCCTCTTCTCCTTGGACTCTCTCCTTGCACACACAACGACTAACTCCCTTTTCATGCAAGTAGTTCGTCGTGCCTCTGTCGCGCACTCATCCTCGAGACCTTACTACTCATTAGTTCCCAGCCGCGAGCTGGTGTCATGTCACTCTCTCTCTTTGATCGCGACTGACACTCTCTGTCCTTCGTTCTCACACGGACCTCTTCGCATCCCTTTTCCCGGCGGCAGGGGTCAAGTTGTTCGTCGACTCTCTTCAGTCGAGCCCGCTCGCCCCCACTCATCCGCTGCGTAGCTGGCCGCCCACGTGTAACCACTTCGGCCTCCTCTCTGCGACTCACTCACACGTGTTGACTTTTGTGCACCTTCTCTCTCACTCACCACTTGACACGATCACCCCCTCTTCCTTTGCCTCCCGCCTTTCTTTGTCCCGCGCCCTCTGGGACTCAGCTGTCGCGAGCTGGCCTCGGGTCCGCCTTCCACAGGTTGAGCCCCAGGGTGGTTCTTGTGAACCTGGCCTGGCCTGTTCCAGAACTGGAGACAGGTCTCCCGGTCACTGGCCTCACTCTCCACCTCTGAGTCACGGTCCAGGTACTGCTGCTCGCGTTCCACCGTGTCTGTCGAGGTTTCAACCTCGTGGTAAATAAAGGTCACCCGAACCTCAGCTGTGACCCCATCCCTCCGCATCCTCCTCTTCGCCCGGTCTTTAGATTCCATGACCGCCAACTGTAGTCTCTGGTCCCTCTTCATTTCCTCGTCTCTCGCTCCCTCCACGGTAACCTTCAGACTCGCCTCGTCTCCCCCAATGTAACTCAGGATCGTAGTGATCCTGGGACCTTCGCCAGACATAGGAGACCAGCGAGTAGTGTACTTCCAGTAATCCGGCCGGTAGCCGTGCAGGCCATTGCTGCGTGCCATAGCCGATTGCCAGATAGTCACAGCTCGTTACTCAGCACTCGTGCACGCAGACTATCCACCGTTCTCAGGCCAACAGCGTCAGCACAGTAAAAGAGGCCTGCACGCTGCTAAAGACTCATTTGCCTCATCCCTTTATAGGCTCACCACTCGCCATGATCCCACGTTCTAAACGAAGAGTTTCAGCTTTGGGCTTTCTTCAAGTTTTAATGCTCCAAAAATTATAAAACAAAATAAAACTAAATAATCTATAAAACACGAAAGACCGAAACTCAACAGTCGGAATTCGGGCCGAACCTACTATGCTATTGTCAGTCACTAATCATCGCGATATGACCACTGTCCAAAAAAAAACGGAAATCTCATAACGGGATACCGACAAGCGCTTCCCTTCCCTCAAAACGCGCTTGTTGGCCTATCCTTGACAGGTACCCGTGTCTGATGGCAAGGAGGGGGCTTATGACCCTCTTCAGGGTTGATAAGCTTCCTACCGATGCGGTCGCGGATCGCCCCTCTTTTGGGGTTCCTCCGCGCGAAGCTCGGCTAGGAGATCTGGCACAGGTGATTTACGAGGGGTCGGCCAGCCTAGGCCGTCAGAGTAATCGCAGCTCGAAATGGAACCGTCGGCCTCCCCTCTGAAGTGATGGAGGCCTAAAAGGAAAGTCGTGTTTGAGATATTAATAATTATAATAATAATAATAAGCGAAAAGAAAAACTCAACAATGCAGCGACCAACTGTCGCTGGATTACTCTGAATTAAAGCAAGGGCCCTGATCCGCACACCGATCAGTCGTTTAGCCCTCTTTTCATTTTATTTTTTCTTACAATTTTACTTTCTTTTCGTTCTTTTCGCTCAGCCTTTTCCTTTCCTGACAGCGACCTGTTTCATGCACCTAACCCATAACCAAGTAGAGGGGCACTTGGCGCGCAATACAAAAGGCAGCGCCCGTTCCTCTACCTTCGCATCCTAGGGCGAACCCGGCGGCTACCACGGCCACAGGCCGGTAGTGCTCTGTTGTACAGCAAGGCGCCGAGCCTGCGTGGACCAAAGGAAAGTCCTGTGGCCCACCCCACCCCTTTTGTTGAGGGGGCACCAACAGGACCAGTCCACGTCGGGTACAGCCTGGGTACTAGGGGTCATAGAAGTTTTGAGGGCTCGCCTTCAGGCCGTAACGTCGGAGTAGAGACCGACACCAAGCAGGGACTTGGTACGCATAGGAGGGTCGGGACACCGCGCCCTCCGACACCGGGTCCAGTGCCCGACCAGCCTCTTCACAACGGGCAGAGGACCGAGGATGCTTTGCCCGAGACCGAGGAGATACCTCCAGGTTTGGAGGATATACAGACGGGCCAGCCAATGGGCGTTGATGATGACGCACCATTGGCATGGGCAGGTACGATATCGCCGACCACGGGGGTGGGGGAGGATGTTGGCGGGGATGCTGTTGTCGGGGGGGTAGAGGAGCGAGTCCATGCTGATCCGGTGTCGTTGGTTGAGGGCGGTCGACATACATTGGACGACGGCGGGGCCGGAGCGAGACAGGAGGCGATCGGTACGCTTGACAGAGGGAGGCATGAGGTGTCGCGGAGCTTGGTGGTTCGCACGGCAGTGGGCCCAATTGTGCGACATGAGGCACCATTTCCTATAGATCCGATGCGTCCTGCGGGTGGTGTCACCTCCATCGCAGAGCGACGTGTAGGCAGGGGCATGTGCGCGCCTCCAATCCCCCCTTTCGCACCGTCTACAAAGAGGACACAGTCGAGGTATGCGCCGCATCCTCGCGGCACCCTTCCATTCGGTTGTATGACTGCCGAGGAGTTGAAGGCGCTTGGCACGATGGATTACACCGGGATAGACACCGGTCAACCGGACTTGTCTTGGGCGCCAGCCAGCCCGAGCCTGGCATCTGGAGGTTCTATTGCAGTGCCCTCTCACGGGGGTGCAGGGCCATTGTCACGAGGGTCCGCAGATGTCCAGCCGCGCGGCAGTCACACCCCGAGGTCGGCTACTCACAGACAGAGAGACACGAGCGACCATGGACGGGACACAATGTTGTTCGATTGCACTGATCAGCCATGGAGCGAGACGAGACGAGTGACATCTACGAGCGCGGGTCGTCAGCCAGGTTTGAGAGGGGTATCCAGCAGTGCGGGCCGTCGAGATGTTGCGGCGTCGGGGTTTGGCAATAGAGGTGGGGATAGTGGCGACATCTATGGCGGACGTGAGGGCGCACGAGATGGCGATGCAGAGGCGGTGCAGCGGCCACTGACGTACGGGTTGAGAGAGGCCTCCATCATTTTAGAGGAGCCCGAGGTGGGTCAACGAGCGAGACAGGCCCGACATGTGCCGATCGATCGACTCCAGAAGGGGGAGACTTCAGGAGCAGATGGTCTGCCTATGCGCCGCGAGTCGCGCCGACATGTTGATTTAGCAACCGCAGGCGTCAAACCTAGCAGAGGCAGAAGAGTTATCATGGACAACAACCCTCCTAAGCCTTCCCATGCTGGTCGTCGAGAGCAACCCCGTCGAGGTCGACTGCGTGGCAGTGGTGGGACACATGGACGAGCTTCGCATCAGTCTGCTCAGAGCTCGCCTTCAAATGAGGATCCTTAACCGTGTGCATACGTTTTTTTTTTTTTTTTTTTTTCCTTTTATAGTTTTTTTTTTTTTTTTTTTTTCCTTATATAGTTTTTTTTTTTTGTCTTGTGTAGCGTTCACCGTGGTTCATTGTTCACACTTCTTTATGTTTGGCACTTAGACACAGGCACTAGGTTCGGTCTTCGACATTATGTGTCGGTTGTTTTTTTCTTTTGTTTTTAGCGACATTGATTTACGTATTTTTTATTCTATTTCTTTTTTTTTTTTTTAGTCACAGGACCATAGCTGTTCTCCGTCACCGGCATAGTAGTTCGGGATTTTACGTAGATGACGCGGGCGTTTAGGGATTTCTTTATGTCGTTTGGATCCAGGTTCTCCGTCACAGGCAGTTGTTTGACTCGATGTGATGGATGCATTTTGGCATGATTTTGCTATTATCCATGCTACACTTCTTTTCGTTTCGGTTTAGACATTGTCTTGGCATTTGTGGTGTTCGTGTTTTGTGGATGATGAGTGTCAAATGTATCGGTTTATGTTTTTCCACTTTCTCATTGTATGCTTCTGATAAACCAATTTGTGAACTTGCATTTCGGTCTACGAATGACGAATGGAGTGACAATTAGATAAATGTGGGTGCATGTCTGCGTGTGTTTGTTTTTTCCAGCTCTCCCACAACACCCAAATGCGACATCTCAGAAAACCAGAGAACCGTTGCTGAATTATCCGTCCAATGCCCCCGCCAGGGTGTGGGCGCTGAGGTGTGGGGGGATTGGGGGGTTGTTGAATGGAGGGTGTGGTGTAGGGTGCTGCGGCAAAGATGCTGTAGGTGGGCCGACGGGGTGTGGGCGCTGGGGCGACGGGGCGACGGGGCGGTTGGGCGCTGCAGCGCCGGGGTGTGCGCGCTGGGGCGCTGGGGAGTCGGGGTGTGGGCGCTGGGGCGTCGGGGCGTTGGGCCGCCAAGGTGTGGGGTGGTGGTGCGTTGGGGCGCTGGGGCGCCGGGCTGTGGGGCGCTGGGCTGGGGCGCTGGGCTGGGGCGTTGGGGCGCTAGGGCGCCGGGCTGCCGGGGTGTGGAGCGCTGGGGCGCTGCGGCGTTGGGGTGTGGGCCGCTGGGGCGCTAGGGCCCTTAGGCGTCGGGTTGTGGGGCTCTAGGGCGCTGTGGTGCTATGGCGCTGGGGCGCTAGGACGCTGGGGCGCTGGGGCACCGGGGTGTGGGGTGGTAAGGTGCTGGGGCGCCGGGGCTCCGGGGCACTAGGGTGTGGGGCGCGAGGGCGCCTGGGTGTGGGGCTCTGGGGCGTCGGGGCGCTGGGGCGCCGGGGTGTGGCCGCTGGTGGCCTTTTTTTTTTTTTTTTTTAATCCCCATGAATGCAGACCACCACCCCGTGGCCCCTGGCGCGCGCGCCCCCGAACCCAGGTTTCGTTCAAAAAAAACGTGCCACGTCGAGCGTAGCACATTTGAATGCTATTGAACGCCTATGTAACACCCGCGGACGCGTCCAGGGGGTCGAGCTCGGATCGCGGACCCAAATGCGTCCGCATCCGCGGCCTACCTGGTCCGCACCGCGGACCCGATTTTACACGAATTTTCCTGAATTAAATAATTGGTAAAATATATATATATATATATATATATATATATATATATATATTTATATGGGGTTGTAGGGAATTTTAAGCCCTACAACCCCATATTTTTTTTCTTTGAATCCGACTTTGTTTAGGATCTTTAAAAAATCAAAAACGAAATTGGATTTAAAAAATATATATATATATATATTTAAAGAAAAACAGGAATTTTTTTTGGTCAATTTTTATCATGAGATATATGGTCCGTGAGTTTACCTGTAATTTTTTAGAAATGAATTTATGTTTTTTGCAGAAGTATGAGGTGTTTTGAAAAAATGCAGATGCAAAATTAAAAAAAAAAAAGAAAAAAAAAAAGGGGTTTGATTGATTGATTGATTGATTGATTGATTGGTGGTGGGGGAGGAGTCGCC